AGAAGAGAAGATCAAAGAAGTTGGTGGAGCCTGTGTGCTTGTGGCCTAAATGATTTTTTTTAATCATGTTTGAATAAAGACTATAAAATGTCTGAGTTATGTTTAATGTTACTTTTATAGCCTAATCATTTGGGGAAGGGAGAAACTATAGATGTTGATTTATGAGAATATTACTTGAGACCACAGTCCCATTGCTTATTGTGAGGAATACTCAGTACCTACTAATTTGTGTACTGGTGGCTCTTCAGATGCTTACTGATAGTCTCTTCTTATTCATCTTGTAAAATAAGCTTTAAGTCAAAGTGTAGTGTAAAACAACTACCACGCATAGGCTTGTCACAGTAGTAAATGTACAGCCTCCTCTTAGTTGTAACCTCTTCAGTACTTTTGAAAACTCCCTCAACTTGAGAAGGCATGGAAGATGGGAGACTGGAAAGGTGCAAGTACAGATGAGGTGACAAGTAAGTCAGCATTCACTAGTTTAAAAAAATATATATATCCTGTCAAACCAATCCATTGCTTTGATGGAATAACAAGCCTTGTTGAGAAGGTAGATGTGGTATACCTAGACTCTTACTCCTAGCATGTATAAAAGTTTTCCAGGTAGATGTGGTATACCTAGACTCTTAGTACAGCATTTGATGGTCTTGTATGACTGTGTAAACCAGGGAAATGCAATCTAGCTGAGGCTTGTAGAAGGTAGGTGTGAAATTGGATAACCATGCCCCAGTGGAAAAACTTACAACAATGGTCCTGAAGCACCTTAGAGACTAACTAAAAATACAAATAGTGGGTTGTGCCCCTGACAGCTGGCAAGTTTTTCCAGAAAAGCGGCTGATTTTCCGGAAAAACTGGCCAGTCTAGACACAGCCCATGTGTTTTGGGAAAACTTTTATACATGCTAGGAGTAAGAGTCTAAGCTTCTAAGCAAATACCTGTGCAGCATCTTAGAGCTGAAAGTAGCAGCAAAGGCTTATCAAGCCTGCACTGCTGTGTGAAAGAAATTAAGGCATACTGCCTCATGGCCTTGGTGGCTAAGTGTCAAGACACACAAAAGACATGGCTCTGCATTTGGAGGACATTGCAACCTAGGTTCAGGCTATTGTGGGACAGGAACCCAGACTTTGGCAGTAGTCTTATGGTGGGTGTGTCAGTTCTCCCTGCCATGCTTTATGAAATAGGCTGATAACACATAGATGCTTTGGACAAAATACCTTATTTAATCTACCAATTTCAATGTTACAATCTGCTGGATCTGTATTTTATTAGGGTGCATGTATCATTCTCATGTAAGTTTAGAAATGAGGTACGAGAATTTTTCTCCCTGCTTCTTCAGGTCATATCCCTTTCTAGACAGTCTTTTCTATGTGAAACGGATTCCTTCCTAAGTGGACTACCCTGGATTTGTCCTCATTGGACTTCATCCCATTTATCTCAGACCATTTCTCCAGATCCTTTTTTAATAACCCTATCCTCTAAATTACTTGCAACTCCTCCCAGCTTGGTATCAGTCACAAACTTTGTGGCTGTGTCTACATTAGCATCCCTTTTCCGGAAAAGGGATGCTAATGTAGACACAGCCACAAAGTTTGTGACTGATACCAAGCTGGGAGGAGTTGCAAGTAATTTAGAGGATAGGGTTATTAAAAAAGGATCTGGAGAAATGGTCTGAGATAAATGGGATGAAGTCCAATGAGGACAAATCCAGGGTAGTCCACTTAGGAAGGAATCCGTTTCACATAGAAAAGACTGTCTAGAAAGGGATATGACCTGAAGAAGCAGGGAGAAAAATTCTCGTACCTCATTTCTAAACTTACATGAGAATGATACATGCACCCTAATAAAATACAGATCCAGCAGATTGTAACATTGAAATTGGTAGATTAAATAAGGTATTTTGTCCAAAGCATCTATGTGTTATCAGCCTATTTCATAAAGCATGGCAGGGAGAACTGACACACCCACCATAAGACTACTGCCAAAGTCTGGGTTCCTGTCCCACAATAGCCTGAACCTAGGTTGCAATGTCCTCCAAATGCAGAGCCATGTCTTTTGTGTGTCTTGACACTTAGCCACCAAGGCCATGAGGCAGTATGCCTTAATTTCTTTCACACAGCAGTGCAGGCTTGATAAGCCTTTGCTGCTACTTTCAGCTCTAAGATGCTGCACAGGTATTTGCTTAGAAGCTTAGACTCTTACTCCTAGCATGTATAAAAACAAAGGGGCTGTGTCTAGACTGGCCAGTTTTTCCGGAAAATCAGCCACTTTTCTGGAAAAACTTGCCAGCTGTCTACATTGCCGCTTGAATTTCTGCAAAAGCACTGACTTCCTACTGTAAGAAATCAGTGCTTCTTGCGGAAATACTATGCTACTCCCGTTCGGGCAAAAGGGCCAGTGTAGACAGCTGAGACTTGTTTTGCGCAAAAAAGCCCCGATCACGAAAATGGCCATCGGGGCTTTTTTCGCAAAAGCGTGTCTAGATTGGCCATCGGGGCTTTTCCGCAAAAAGTGCTTTTGCGGGAAAGCATCCGTGCCAATCTAGACACTCTTTTCCGAAAATGCTTAATGGAAAACTTTTCCATTAAAAGCATTTCCGGAAAATCATTCCAGTCTAGACGTAGCCATGTAGTTTACACACCTAAAAGAGTTGCAGGGAGGGGGTAGCCAAGTTAGTCTGTACAGGATAAACTTAAAAAATAGTCTGGTAGCACTTTATAGACTAACAAAACATGTAGATGGTATCCTGAGCTTTGGTGGGCACAGCCCACTTCTTCAGATGGTCACAAAGGGTTTACCAGCCATGAGTCTCTGTGTGGTGATTTGCAAGTGTTGCCCTCTGTTCAAACCATTGGTATGAAGTAGTATTTTGTCCCCTTTTCAAAAACCTCAATGTGCCAGAGTGTTTTATTCAGTCAGATTTTTCAGACAGGCAGGCCAAACTAAGTAATTCTCTTGAGGCCTTGGGAAGAAACCAAGGTAAGGGTTCAGTTGTACCACAGAAACAAGATGGCTATGTCTAGACTGGCATGATTTTGCGGAAATACTTTTAACGGAAAAGTTTTTCCATTAAAAGTATTTCCGCAAGAGAACGTCTAGATTGGCAAGGATGCTTTTGCGCAAAAGCATCAGTGGCCAGTCTAGACGTGATTTTGTACAAGAAAGCCCCGATCGCCATTTTAGCCATCGGGGCTTTTTTGCGCAAAACAATTCTTTCCTGTGTACACTGGCCATCTTGAGCAAGTATTCTTGCGCAAGAGGGCTTTTTCCCGAGCGGGAGCATGAAAGTACTTGCACAAGAAGCACTGATTTTGTACATTACAAAGTCAGTGCTCTTGTGCAAATTAAAGCAACCAGTGTAGACAGCTGGCAAAATCTTTCCAGTCTAGATGCACCCGATGGGTGTGGAATGGGATTGCTTCTCATAAAATCCTACAGAAAAGAATCACCAGGCAGATGAAAAGGGCGGGGTAAGGGTGCCCTTCTGGACTTTTCTCATTCTCCACACCTCTCACCCCTAGGCACTCTTTAGGGCAGTGGTCACCAACCAGTAGATCTACTGATAGATCTTTGAGCCTCTGACACATGATCCTGACTAGTTTGGTCAAGAGGCTATCAAGTGCCAGCACTTCAGCTGCTCCTCCCCCCACTGCTGCACATCACTTGCCCTTTATTTTGGAGCTGTTCCCCCAGGAGCCGCCTGAGTTCTGTGCAGGACAGGGGAGGGAGAGGAGAGCACTGATGGCAAGGTACCCCCTTCTCCCACCCTGTATCCTACCTCCACAGAGCAGGGAGGAGGCACAACAGGACTAAGGAAAGAGCAAGTTTGCTGGCTGCTTTTGGGAGTGGTGCAGGGCTAGGGCAGGGGTGAGCCTACCTTGGCTCCAATGCACCACCACCCAGAAGCCACCTGAACTAAGCAGTGCCCAGCTGGAGCCAGCTCTGAACCCCTACCCAAATCATGAACCACCATCTATACCTCAAGCCCCTGCCCTAACCCTGACTCCAAACACCCTCTCAGAGCCTGCACCTAGAACCCCCTCACACTCTAAATCCCTTAACCCAAGACCAGAACCTGCACCCCAATTCTCTACCCCAGCCCAGTGAAAGTGGGGGAGGATGGAGTGAGCAGGGGCAGGGCCTCAGAGACTGGGCAAGGAGCACAAAGGCAGTAGGGCAAGAGTACATGTGTTTGAGGTAGATCTTGGATTGCACTTAAATAAGTACGCTTGTGCTTAAAATGGTTGGAGACCATTGCTTTAGGGATAGCAGGTGGGTGGGGGAAGAGCTTTTAGTCCGTCTTTGGGGATGTTGCTAGCGTACACTGTTGGGTTCCTCACAGTAGATGGGGTGCATGGACCTACACCAGCATGTCTCAGCTATGCCTGTTAGAGATGCAGCAGGCATGGAGCGACACTTCACACCTGGCCCCATTCTGCTGCAAGCAGAGGGCTGGAGTAGTACTCTTCACCAGGGCTGCCTGCTAACTGAAGTCCTTAGCCCCGTGGTCACCAACCCGTCGATCGCAAGGCCTCGACTAGTCGATCGCGAGGCATTCGGGCAACCCCCGCCCCATTTACCCCTCACCCCCGAGAAGCCCCACTACCTACCTCTAGTGTAGTGCCGGCTTCCCGCGGGGTGGACGGAAGTTCTATTTGAA